TTCCTAGTGCCGTGTTGGGTGTCCTAACGGGTGCCCTTCTGATGCGGCGCTTTCGCCCCTCTATCAAACAAACTCTCCTCGCCTCTCTGGTACCCCTATTCGCGACCTTGGCAACGGTGCTCATACTTATGCTGGGACTCAACTGTTCGGCCAATCAAATGGCTGGAGTGACTGCCACGTATGACGGAATATCGTGAGTTGTAAAGTGATTTTATGGTGGCTGTATACCGTTAGGATTAATGTCGATGTGAATGCTTACCGATAGCTCGATTGCTTACTCCCTCTTACTCTTCCCTTCATTTTTTTCAATGTACTGTAGTACAGATGATTGGATATTTCCATCTATAAACTTCAGCAGCACCATCTTCTTTGTTATTTACTTCAATATCCGAATGTGGAAAGTCACGATCTATTGTCGGAATAGCTCTCAAATTCATCCAAGATGCTGAAGTGCATTATATTGACAACCATTCGAGAGCACGTCAAGGTTATTCCACGATCGGAAATGCACTTAACTAAAGTCACTCTGACGCAGACTCAGTGCCTGTTCTATAGCTACCAGGCGCGTTAATAGGCTAACTGCACATCCTCCTCCTCGTTCTCCTCCTCTTTTGGGTACTCATTACGTCGGTCAATAAAGTCTTCGGCATTAAAGTTTTTGTCTATCACTTATTGGGTTGGAGGCCTTGAGACGACACGGACAACTCGGTCGTAAACTTCAAGTCATGATAGTATCAACACAGTTTACGCCAGTGCCGTGTTAATCTTAACTTCTGTGTGAAGATGTCATCAGCAAAGCATCAGTAGTTGAGTATTTCCGTCGTGTGGTACCATCAGGCCCATTTGAAGTGAGATTCAGAAATAAGTGAAGCGAAATTAGCTTGCAGGACGGTGCCTCATCGGCCTCAAAGCACAGGCCAAAGCACTGTGCTGTGCGTCTGGGTCGTTAGGTAGCCACAATCTCATCTCATCATACGTACTTCACTCGGCCTCTTCCTTACTTACTTTGAGGTTCCGTGTGGGCCGCGCTGCACTGTGTTACGTTGCATTGCGGTTCGTTGCACAGCAGGACTCACGGTAAGGACTCGAACTGGCCAACTAGTGGAGACGCAAATGACCAGCCAAAGTGGAAAGGCATGGAGAGTGTGGGTCTTTTTCATGCTTCATTACAGACTCGAATGGACCGACGTTATGAAGGCAAACTCATGATATTTTGTCCAGTTTCTTGTCAACTTTTCAATACGATGGTTGCCACAAATGGCTTCCACAATCGATCACGGGGTGGGACACTTACCAAGGAGATCTTAGAAATCGCTTGACTGACCGAAATGTCCCATTCCTGGCATCGTGCTATCTTGTTACACTGGCTCCAGTGTTTCCTTCCCTGCAAGCTAATTTTTTTCGCACAAGGCAGCATTTGACGGTGCTTCAACGAGGTTAACAAGACTGAAAAGCCCCCTGTCTCGAGGTGTGCCTGTGAAGCTGACCTATCTCAGGCCACAAATTCCAAAGAGCTTATTTGGCTCCTTGGCTCATTTGTGACTATGCGAAAAGTAGCGTTCCAGAGGTTGGCTTCAGACGGCTTCAGTGGTAGTGACGGATGGGCACAGAGTAGCGCACGTCTGACGTCCGGAAACACATTGAGTGGATCTGGCATGGTTTCTCCCCCAGTGAGTGAGCATCGCCACCATTCGGTGAGATAACACAGGTCACTCACGCTCACTTCTCATGAAGTGAAATGAAACGTGACACAGGACGTAGTGGATACAGACTTGTCGATAATCCACAGATCGTAACCGATGCCTAGGTCTGCAATTAGCAACGGCAATATGTGAAGGTAGTCGGGAAAGTGCAACAGGTCGCACAAAACATGGAGGCATCTGGCTGCAGTGTGAACATAAACTCGGTGTTGCACATGAGATGTATGGTTTTCTTACTAGGCTCCCAGTAGGCCCTGGGTGTGCTCAGGCTTTCATTATGTTGTGTGGGTAGATAGGTACATCATTGTGGTTGTTGAACGTATGGATGGGCTGTGACTTGGTCCTATTGAGTGGATTCGTTTCATGGAAGATTACGCAGCTTTTAGCATAAGGCCTTCTGTTGTTCGAGTGATAGAAGATGTTGAAGTCATGGGGAGACGGTATCTGTCCTTTTCATTCCCTGTGGTCGTGACTGCAAACGGTTGAACGTTAGAAGCGCTCTGCAGCTCTCACATCGGTACAATTTCCCTTTAAATTTTGTGCATATTCACTGTTTTCTTGCTTTATTTCTGTTAACATGTATTCTGTTTTATCTCATTTTACGACATCCTTTTTTCTTTTCCTTTCCGCTTTTACCATAGATCATTTGATTTTGTCATGGTCTATAATTGAGATGACCCCTACTTTTCTGTAGTATTTATCACCTCATTTCCTTTCCTTACTCCTTCCTGGCCACCCATTTAAACCAATATTTTAAGTGACTAGGTCTTCTTATGCATATTTTCTGATTACGAGTGCTATACTCGTCTTTTATCGCTCCTTTTGACCTTGTATATGACTAAGCTTCCACCTTTCATTTAACTTCTTTTGTTCACCTTTAGCCCTATCAGTTGGCGGTTAAGTGGATCCCTCCTTCGACATCCATTCAACCTTACGGCTCCCTGCAACTCCTTGTGCCGAGTACGAGTTGATCCTAATAGCGACGATGATCTGTTCTCCTGCCCCCTTGCCTCCGACTACAACCCGGTGTGTTGGGAGTCATCCATACCGGCATCATGGAAGGGGGAAGCGAAGGCGCAGATGTCTTTCCTTAATCCCTGTCTCGCCGGATGTGTCTCGCAGGGATTTCACACCGAGCCTGATGGCAAAGTGGTGGAGGTGAGAACTCAGTAGCCGCTCCATTTATTCCTATCAATTACGTTGGCTATCTGAATTGTCGATCTGAGTTAAGTGAAAATACTGCTTTATCACGAGTACTTTGAGGCGGACTGGTAGGTGCATCTACCACTTCTTTCGCCACACAGTAGCTTTTAATGCATCTAGCATTCTTCATCACTGCCCTGGCCTTACTCCGACCTGTCTTCCATATGGCCGGTGGGTAGCGTCATTGTTATCTTTGTTTAATCACTTGCTTCAAATCTGACTGAAAGTTGTCCCTGGGCGGTTAAACTCAGCGGCAACACGCAAATCTCAACTACGATTAGGAACAGGATATTTTTGAATGTGACAGCACATTGTTCTGCTACCACACCTCCAAATACTTTATTACAAGCCTGACCTGAGGTCAGATTCTGTTAACCCTACTTCGGAATCGAGTTAGTCAATACGTAAAGGAGACTTAGTCAAATTGCTGCCATACGTTTTATTCGGCATTTTACGCAATGGGGGTACAAAAGAATACCAGGTACTATACTTATGTGGCGACCTACTTCAATGATTTCCAGTGCACACTAATAATTTATATGCGCTTTTTATGCTCCTGCAAATTATAATAGCTCATTTACGGTGGGCCAGACCGAATGCTAGTCGAAGTTTTTGTGTGTTCACTTGATGCATCAACTTTGAATGTCGATTGTGACACTTTCAGTGATTGCTCTTCTGTGTCGTCCCTGGTGCCAGCAATCGTGGAAAATGGAATTGTATGAGAGGCAGCCATGGGGATTGCTTGAATTACTCTTTGGTGAATTCGTGTTTGCCTGTCCAGCACTACAGCCACTGATTTCATTCCACGTTTCTTCTTCGTCGCTACTTTCTTAATCAGTTGTTAGGTTTACTGTTGTTCGCTGTTTCGATAAACATTACAAACGACCGTATTTTAATGATGTAATAACCTAACGAGGTGTAGACCTAGTCTTTCTGCCGATCTTGATGCAGAATTTAAAACTGGATTATTTGGCAAAGGTCAACGAGGTCTTTTGTAGCTCTTCTGATGTGTATCTCCCCGGATTCAGCTATTAAGCTATTCAGCTGCCAAAAGATCCAGTAGGATTCATTTATGTACAAGTCTTCTTTGAAGCGCTAGCAAGGGCAGTAGCATTCTCAACAAGAAGTAAAGGGTGTCACGCATAAAATACTAACAGCTTCCGAATCATGTCTGGAGACGTTGTCAGTCGGGTTAGTTTCCGATTGCCTTTATCCAGTAACCTGTTGAACAGGCAGACGACTATTGGTGCAGCTTTGCACTGTCATCCTGGAGGCCAAATCGCGGGAGATTGGAAAGATTATCAAAGGTTTATGACTGTCTTCTGCCACAGTTTTGGTTTGTTCAATTAAAATGCCTGATTTGCATCCATCCACAGTACGACTGATTTTTTAAGTAGCGATGTTTCTGCCACCCTTGTTAGATATACACCGATTGTAATTGCGTCACCAACACCAGTCTCGTGCCGGAGGGTGTCCACTCCATCGGCGGTAGTGGCATCCGTGGGATCACAAAAAAGGGTGTCTGCAGACCTCAATGTCTCCGCTACGCGCCTTTCCTCATCGTTACCTTCCTCACAATCTTTCTCACCAGCATAAATCAGAATCCCAGCAATGTGATCACTCTGAGGTAGGTTTTGCCCCACTTTAGCCGCAATTTTTCGAGATTTGCTGACCCTAGGTCACGCTCTGGTTGGAATGGACAAAACTTACATACTCTTTAGCGATATAATTTTTTGATGCTTGGTAAAAAAGAAAATTTCGCCAAAGTCTCTTCCTCTTGTTATTTTAGAACTTTAGGATTTGGATACGTGATCTATCACGATAGTTTTCTGCATTACTTTTGCTCATAATTGCTCTTTCTCATTGATTTGATACCTGTAGATTACAGTAAGATGCACCAGATGGTAAACATGCACCTTGGAATGGTCTAAGGATCGTCGCTACTTAGACTCTGATTGGCCGCCTTTGGGTCATACTGCACTCTTTCGGTTTTTGCTGGTTGGATAGTTGATGGGGATTAAAATGATACCTCTCTAACTGCAAATCTGACTGTTTGAGGGATTGCCTCCACTTTTCGATGTTTCTGGTTTATTCTACGTATGCAACAATTTCATTTGGAGTACCCCGTTTGTTGGGAGCAATAAGATGCTAGGCTAGCAGGATTTTCTCTGTCCAGAAGGCTTGCAGTTATTGCAGAAGCAAGCTTGTACGATGAGAATTGTCAATCCTTGGGGTTAAGATGGCTTGGAGGCCTTCACGTAAACGCCACAAAAGCGGAGACAGCAGCGTTCGGCCGAACTAACGATGTGACAAAATGAAAGTGTGCTTCAGATGTCCAGGTGGCACCCTTGAAAGTCGCCTACCTCTAGACCTACCGATTCCATGTTGCATAAATGCTGCTACTTTTTGTCGAGGTTCCCACCCACAAACTTAAAAAAATGATTGGATCTCTGTTCTTTATTTCGATTGTCAGCTGCGTAGCTCCAGATGACGGAACGGCAGCACTTGGGCTTCAAGTCTTCTTTTCTCGAACCCTCGGTTAGTTGACATATTCATATTTCTTTCGAAAAAGAACCTGCTAAATCCATTTAGAACGAATCTGTCTAAGCAAGTAGCTCATCTCATTTTAATCCCACTTTCATCAGTCAAGTGGTTTAAAGGTTAGAAAATTACTAGGAAATTTTGTTAGTAGGCATGCCACTTTAATCCGTACACACCTATCTCCATTTCCCAGCTTTGGCTTCATCTAAGAAGGATTGATTAATTGCCAATGGAAACACTCACCTCCTCCTAGTAGTTAAAATGTTTAGATCATTAATTTTCTCTACTCCACGTCAGCTTTCATTCCAACGCCCATCTACTTCGGTGCCCTAATGGATCGCACCTGCCGCGTACGAGCATTGCCACAGCGATTAATTTGTGAGTCGCAGCAGCACCACCTTCTCCTACTATCGGCGACGAAGTTGGCTTCACTGGAGGGCGCCTGTCTGGAGTACGACGTGCATGCGCTCCCCTTCGCCTGGCTTGGCGGGGTGACAGTCTTCAAGTGTCTCAGCATTCTTATCGCTATTCTCACCTGGCGCTACTCCTGGTAGGCTGTGGATTGTTGAATGTATGAAGGATTTTCAATTAATTCGTTTGACCGACAGACGAATAAGCAGCTGTATGGGTGAGTGTATCGATGGATGGGTGGACGTACGAAACGCCAGATGAATGGATAGCTGGATGAATAATTGAATAGATGGCTGGATGAGTGGATGAACAGATGGGTGGTTGGGCAAATGAATGACTGAATCAGTGAGTGGACGAATTGATGGTTTCAGGATGGATGAATCGAAAAATCTATAGTACCTTAATTGCTGGCTTGATTTTTCTCCATTTTAGCCGTTTGGATGCACGGCAAAAGAGAAATAAAGCGATCCTCGCCGAAACGGGCGAATCGCAGCTGCCAGAAGCGCAGGGAGGATGACAGAATGCCCTTGGGGAAACTCATAGTCACTAGTATTCTTTATGCAATTCTTTCCTTCTCTGTGTTGCTTCATTTTTGCAATTCGTTTTAAAGCACGATGGACAAAAAATGAACTTGTAACTTCGATTTGCAAAATACGATCCTACTTCACTTGAACTATTTCGTAAAAATACTTCTCATGACAGAGGAAAATGTAGCTGACATAGATGGATGGAAACTGAATGATAAATATTTAGATAAATGACCACTGGGTGGATGGATGGATTGTTACGTAATAATACGTGATGAATGGTTTTTGGCTACATTGTACTTGTATATGCATATTTTGGATAGATTGTTACGTCATGTATTTTTGAGCGGTTACGTACTTTTTGGACGCGAATTAAGTTCTTGCTTGCATTTTTATCATATTCCTCTTATTGTTGCACCCTTTCATCTGGTGTTAATATCTCACAATGCGTCGTTTACTGACAGCAGTATTCGTTTTACTTCGTGTGTGTTTATTGCCAATCGTTGTCGACGCACCTTGATGGATATTCCCTTTTAACCATTTCACCGTCAATCAAACAGACGTGTAAAGGGATTTCTTGACGCATTGAAGTAAGTGCTACTAAAGTCACGAGGGGAGGGGTGACTCCCGATATCTTACAATAGCGTTTAGTGGCGTACTGGACAATTCCGATTGATTTCTAATGAAACCACCTGTTACCAACCGAAGCGCAAGATTCGCTCGGTTAACAAAAAAACGGTAGTAGGGTCACAAAACTGTTCAAAAGGACGTGAACCGGAAGCCTTAAGAAAATTCAAAGTATACACTGCTGCAATTATCGGTCCCTACAGCACCAACGGATAGATGGAAAGATTTACTTGAATGTGGTGAAGCCATATTTGACATGAAGAGGGAAAAAATCCCTCATACGAGGGGTTGCAGCCAACTATATCTGCGATACACTGCGGAATCAACATGGCGCTGATATTGTTGGACACTTTCAATTGGCCGCCTCTCCTTGTAAATTCGCTTTTACAGAATGCCACGAGGAAAAATATCTAGGTTAGCCTGCCCTTCTAGGTTGGTGGTCATCCATGTAGACGCAGAATGGAACGATTGCAAGTGTACTCTAGAAATCATCTCAACTGACTTCGAAGGAAGATGCTAGGAGTGCCTGCAGCACGAGAACAATCATACTTGTTAGGTTTTCTCCCAGTTCCCACATAACGACTGGTTCTCGAACAGTCCTGGATATCGATCTCACTCAGTCCCTCCTAATTGGCTGACACCAAGCGTGGATGTACTTCGAGTACCTTAGTAATCATTATAAGCCCGAGATTAGTCAAGTACTACAAATATGGAAGACCGGAAACCACCGTGTCACCGGCAATCACTAGCTAAGGCTCTAGCTATCATGTGCGCACATGCAGAACTCCCTTGCTTTCACAAATCCATTAACAAAGAAAAACCCCTGGATTAAAGATTTGTCCACTAATTCTCTGGTTGATATTTCGATGGGATTTAGGCCCATGTGCACAAACAACGGTTTATAACAGAGGAAAGGATGAATTGATGGATGGGAACGGGATGTGTGGAAAAATGTTTGGCTTGGATCATGGATCGATAAACGGAGGGAAAGTAAATCGTTCAGTTAACGATGCCCTTGCTAACTTGGTCACAACTATGGAGTGGTAGGAAGAAGGTCTTTACCCCTATTTGCTTCACCGACCTTGTCCTCACAAAACAACAAACTGCCTCCCTACTGCAATCCCCCTACACGCATGAAAAGATCATCCGAATGCAACTCTTGCATAACGCACACACCTCTTACGACGAGCCATCATTGTATTGGCTCTTGTCCTTTTCTCCTTTAACCAAACTCTGGGTCGCGTATGAATAGCAAAGCGAGACAAAATTTCTTACCCCCAAATCGCACTTACCAAATCGATGATGAAATACTCGACAAATGCTGTTTTTACATTTTCAATGAATCGGAGTTTAGTATGAAAATTAGCCTCTCTGCATTAATGTGGATCAAACTGAGAGACTAGGTGGCCCGGAAATGGATTGAAATTCTGCAACTCGACATCGAGTATTGGACTCACGATCAGTAGACTCCCCAACTCGAGCAGTCATCAGATAAGCCTACTCAATCGACATTTGGGCGATCAAACATTTAAGCAATCGTAGCTATTTCTTAACTCCTATTGGTCACTTCACGTCCGGACACGCGCACAATCACCGTGGGAACGTAAGTACTCTTAAAGTCGGTACCAAACTTAAATTTCCCTTATTTCCATTTTTAGTTGCTAGGCCAATTAACCAAAGCACGTTTGTTGCCTTTTCCACTGTACTCAGGGTAATGCGAGTTTTTTGCTCATTTTTCTGCATTCGCCTTCAGCATGGGAGGTGTTATCTCATGCAGCTTGAAGTTCGTTCTTCAAATCTTTAATACCGTCCTCTGCGTAAGTGCTGTGATGGGAATGCGATAGACCTTACGGTGTTTTTGTCGAAGAAGTACTGAATTTATTCTTCATTTCAGGTGACCTTCTTGGCCGTAGCACTGCTTGGCATTCTGCTGAAATCGTCGAGACCAGTAGTTGAACAGCTACTGGCGAAGATTTTCGATGAATTTAAAGTCGGTGATGACGACTTGCATGTGAGATGGCCAAATGTCACTGAAAATGCCGGCAGATACTACCCTAAGCCATGGAATACCACTTTGATCTCTATCAATGGTTGATACTTGGGATAAATTGGCAGCGACTTATCGCCTTCAGATGGCATCGCCATGGCCCGCATTGTAGTTGGATCAGTACTGACAGCTCTCCGTCTATTCAGGTGCATTGTTTCGTGTTGCGGACTCAAAATATCACTGAAGATAGTGAGTAGATTCAAAGGAGGTAAAATAAGGGAAAACGAACCCTTTAAACCGATAACAACTACTTTTCTCTTTATCAATATGCTACCATTTTGCTCGTTCTAACTGTCGCAATAATAGTCAGTTGCAGTGCTCTTCTCCAATTCCGCCAGACTTACTTTCCTGCCTGTCAACTTAATGGAAGACATTCTTCCGAATTATAGTGATAGAGGTGAGGAGAGATAAGTGCCAACTGCTGTCCAAAATGTGTCAATGACAGTATGAATCCGAGGGGAGTTAATTCACCTCCCTTTAGTGAAACCCGTTTCACCTATGTACATGCAAAGTCCCTATTTTTCATAACGGATAGATTCATTATGCTACGGTATGGATGACTACGGAGAAACGTGGCAAAACCCTGCCGCCACAACGCTGTAATGGGAAGTCTGGAGGTTGCACTCTGAAGACAGCTGAAAGCATTAAGATGCCGGGATGTAGAGATAAGATTGTACAATTTACCGCAGATAATTTGAAGTTCCTATTGTATATCTCCATTGTTGCGATTCTGCTAAAAGTGAGTCACGTAACCCTCTTCTACACTAGCACTAAGGGATTGATGTGAATCGAAGCACTTCCTGTAAAACATTGTCTACATTTTAGACCGCTATCCTCCCGATTGTGGTGTTTGCGATTTGCCTGTAGACAAATGGTGGAGGTAACAGATGATTGAAGCATCTGTTTAAGGGACCCCCACTACCACCTACATCTAACCTCTCTTACACTGACGTCCCTCTAATTTCGCATAAAGACCATTTACATCACTGAGTTGCTGTGTGAAATTTTTTTAAGAACGTGTGTACATAGGAGTTGGCATCCGCTTCACTTCTTCTGTTTTGAGGAGATGAGACTCAAAACTACATCGACCATTTACCTATTGGAGTTGACTGCAGTCGAGGCCATCAAGTCACGCATTCCATGGGATTGTGTTTGACCAGACCTCTGAAATGGGTAGGTATGTGGATGCTATGACTGTTGGTTGTCATTAAACTGAGGCAGTGTCGACTTTAGATTCGATTAGCTTGTAGATTAAAAGCGAAAAAGGGATCCGAAATGAGTTAGTCTTTGGTCGAGTTCAACTACCGTTTACGGTGTATACTTGCCGCTAGCACACATCCCCATCTTATCAAATTGCATTGTATAAACAGGCGCAAGTGTTTGGCCTTTGGCAGCCTATCACACCCACAAAAAGCAAGCATAAGCCTTCAGAAACAAAGTGCATGCCTTAGAGGTGTAGGTGAGGTATTGAGTGAATTATTTGGGGGTAATCAATGATAGTTCTGCGCGCTCGACGAATGTTGGGGTAAATCGCAGAAGCGATTTCTCACCGCGAGTCATTCGATCAACAAACCGTCCTTTTTCGTGAAAGAAGTGTAAGACAGCATGCTAGTAGGCGTCGCAGGTTGTTTTTACCTGTTAATGCCATCCACTTCAAAGACGTTTTTTTCTGGTTGATGTAGACGCCCGTGTTAATCGTTGCGCACCTCCTCCGAATGCTGGAATAAAAAAACTGACAGGAGGAAATCAACACCAACTTAAACTTGGTCTGTTCCTAAAGCTGACGAGTTCAGAGTACATTCATCAGGTTCGTTCAAGTAGCACACGGGGAGGGTTCAGACCAACAGTAGAGGCGCAGCTCTGAGACAAAGTAGAAAATTGGTCTACTTTGAAAGGAAGCTACAGATACCTCATTTAGGCTCTCCAACTGCGTTCGAGACTGCGCGCGGAATATGAATATGCCTTGTAAATGAACTAACACCGCCTTTGTACTATAACATTGACCACAAATATTCTATTGATTCGTCCTTACAATCATCGAATTCCAACTTGACCGTCAACATGAAAATTCTCCTGCGGTCAGTATCCACCCATTTTCAACAAACGGGATAACAATTATTAAAAAATAACAATAATACATCGCAGACCAAAAGGGCTAGGCTAGTTGCAATACATGTCACCTTTCCATTTCGTATATAAATCAGCGATAAAAGTACATTCACACAGACATACACAGAGTTCCAGAAAAAGAGAAAAAGATGGGTGGACAGCGGGAGAATAGGTGGGAAGAGAGATGGGGCACATCAGAAATATCTTCAATTAAGGTCGTGGTTGAGGCGGGGCTATGGGTACCCCGCCGGGACCCAGCGCTGGACTGACAACAGTAGCGTTGGACGCTGCAACAGCAGCGGTACCACCCGTAGAAGCAGCAGCGCCAGTCCCTGTAGCACCAGCACTAATACCACCGGTAAGGAATCCAGCATGCATGCTAGATCCGCTTGCTCCAGCAGTTAAATAGGTGGAAGCTAGAGCGGCTGACTGTGGCGCATTAGTCAGGAAAAGAGCGTGGCTCTGATCTCTAAACTCCAACCACCTGTCACTTTCCGCATCCAGCTTCGCACTCACCTACAGGGTTTATACAACATGTTTCACACAATTCCATTCAGTAGAAAAGTGATGAGAATCACACGTCGTCTACCTGTGCCCCATAGAGGGGATTCTTTTGCATTGCCTTGAGAGCCTTCACAATATAGGCGCGACACTGACCCGGCTCACGAACGGTTACCGGTAGGCCACGCTGCAGTATCTGCAGCAGGAAATCGATGAGATCGCATTTAAGCGCCTGAAAGGAGGACGAAAAAGTATTGTTGCTAAAATGGAACCAATAGATGCTATTTCTTCTTATTGGTGTTCACGAGACATAGATGGTAGAACGGTGATATCAAGGAACCAAAAGGGAAGTTAGTGAGACCCACTTGAGCAACCAGAGGATCACAGCCGGTAGTGTTGAAGATGTTGAAAAGAGTTTCTCCCATTGTGCCTAACTCCTCGCCGACACAGTAACTAATCACATGTCGGTAGCCAGCTATCGTCTCCCGCTCCATCATTGCACCGACGCAGAGCTGAGAAATAGAGGAAGAGCAGTAAGAAGTAGAAGACAATGAATAACTCCTTTAAAAGAAGAAGGGATAAATCTGAGGTGGCTCATATAGAGAAGAAAAGTCAAGGGAAGTCATTTTGCAAACGCAGTCCCAGATGCAAAAAACTTATCGCGACCAGGACTGACAGCACCGCAATTATAAGGCATATTTAGGCGTGACGAAGATTGGCTGTAAGATCTTGAGATGTGGACTAAAAAGGAATTTTATCTACTGTTCCAATTCCCGACCTCGAACCAACCAACGGTACACAAAGACGGACCCATAAGTAGCTAACAACACTTAAGGGGCGACGTTGAACCATATAATCGGTTTTAAATGTCCCGTGAGACCCATATCAATGCGGCCTCAAATCGTAGAAAGAAAAAGACTGTATTTCAAACTGTCTCACCTTGCTAGCTGACATGGCATGTATCAACAGAGCACATGTCCTCGCCTCCTCTGGTTCATTTACCGCAGGACATAGATCTAGTATCCTATGAGCAAATCCCTTCTTTGGCAGTCCATCCAACAAACCAGGTCGGTCTGCCAGCAGTTGCAGCGCCGCTCGACTTAGCAATCGCAGCAGGCCTGGATCCGTTTCTGGTGACTTTCGGTTGAAAGTTTCTAGAAGTCGAGTCATCAAGGCTTCCAGAAAGGTCTCTGGCTGACGTAGCATCCAACGACCTGCTGCTTGGGAGACATAGATTTGGAGGTAGACGCCTCCCACGCAGACGACCTCCAAAGAATCGGAAAGAGATGCTTCCGCTCCGGCACTGTCTTTGTTTGAGTCAGCGAGATTATGAGCACGGAGCGCAGCAGTTACGGCGGTGGCATAAGAGACAGCGTAGGCGTCGGGAAGGGACCACTTAAGGGCGTGGTTCTTCTCCTGTTGACGATTAAACCTGAAGGGGAGCGATACCACCAGGAATACAAAAATGACTAGAACACATAAACGGGTGAATTAAAAGGGTGCTTCTAATTAACAAACAGTACTTTCAGTTGCCACAATTCTATTCAACAGGTTGACGCTGATAAATGCTTGATAAGAAGTGATTGTGAGTGACGATTCCAAATCGAAAGGAGAACCGAAATCACTTCATGTCTTGGTCAACGCGACCTTAAGAGACAGCTGATAAGAAGCGTTGGAAATAGATTTTGAGATAATATTTTAGTGAGCTTACCGGTTACACATGTCGATAATAGCCTCGGTTAAATGATCCCGACAATCCTGGTTCCAAATCAGTTCTGGATTGAGATGGTCCGCTGGATTTGGAAGGAAGATCAAATAGGTTTTCACTTTATATAAATGATAGATTTTAACATTGAATTGTTTCTGCCGTCAAAAATTAGTGCCAACTGGGAAAAGGGAAGCTATAAAAGCATCCGCTTCTGTTAGTTATGAATAATAAAACTTTGAGGCCTTTTCAAGACCAACGTTGTAATGAATGACCGTGGGGCAACCAAAAACAAGCATAGTGACCTTGAAATGCCTAATAATTTACTAACTTAAGTGAGAGACTAAATGCTAGCGCTATTAAAAGATTTTTGACCAAAATTGAACTCCTAAATTCAAGAGTACGGCTTTTCAGAATTTATTATTCATAATGAAAACAATACCTATTCCTTTTTCCGAAATGTCAAGCAAAATGTAGTAATAAAACAAAAAGGGCGGCTTTGACACCAAAGTTACTGAAATCTGAAGCACGAAGAAGGCCATTTCAAGGTTACAGAGAAGTTTCAGTTGAAACTGAATTACACAAAACGCACCATACCCCCAAAGTATTTCTTCTTCTAGTTTCGACCACAAATATTGCGATTAATTTTCATTAACTTGTCCAATTTGTAAAGGTCAACAGTAATGGCAATCTAACATCAAAATGTCTTAACAAGATAGATCCTGAATTTTGCAGCCAATCATAAAACGAGAGACCTCAGAACAACCGCTAGCATGACAACTGACACAAAAACAAAAAAAACACCTAAAATAGTTCCGATTAGCTTGAAGGTGCATTCTTACCCAACAAAAATGGAACTTACAATCATAGAGTGCAACAAACTGTTGCGGTGCCCCTCGGATAGTTTCTGGAAATATGGCAGGTAGGAATTGTCCCAATAGAGCCTGAATTCGTCGACCCAGTTGCGGATTAGCCAGACATCGACTAAGCAATTCCGCTGATCCACGTCGAACCTCAGGCACTTCCGAAGTTGCAATTGCTTCTAGGAGGTAGATCAACCCCCCAGCATATACGAGTTCCTTCAACAATGAGTTCACTGCGACTACATGGGCGAAGAAATCCAACAGTGGTAGGTGTGCTAAAAAAAACAAAATTATTTTTAATAAATTTCCATCTTATACGAATCAGAAGCGAGTATATTGGTCCACATAAACCGACCAAGAGGTAGGGCGCGAAATAGAATAACAGCTACAACAAGAAGATTTGAGGCGTGGATATCGTTCAGGCACTCCGGATTCTTCGCCACAGCGTGGAGCACTTCAATGGACCGCAATTTAAGATCAGCATAACCCTCGAGTTCAAGAATTCCGAAGAGAATGTCGAAGTGGCCGATGCATTGCAGTTCGACGCCTATCATTTAAAAACAAGTACTACTTATTTCGCTTAAGTAATAGTGGTTTTGATGGTAAAAAAGGTCACCGGCATAGCTATGGACGACGTTGCGGAGGGCTTCCAATGCGGATTCGAGATGACTGACGCGTTTGGTGGTGGCTGGGAAACCATCAGAGACTCTTGGGAGTAAAGCCAGTTCTGTCTTAAGGTAATTTAGCAGATCAATGACGAAGCCTTTGGGATTCTATTTTGGAGAAAGGGCAGAAGGATATGAAAGATGTTAATGGGTATCTTTTCCGTGTATCCACCCGATAAAATAAATCAACAAGTCTGTACAACTGTAAACCTTGCTATCCATCCACGCAAACAAACCACCTATCCTTTCTATAACTATCAATCCTTCTTGAGTTCTCCCATCCACCTCAGGAGCATCCATCCCGAAATCATCCATTTTTAAATTTTTTCGTGCAATGATTTAACAGTCATTCCTGCCATCTACCAAATCATCTATCCATTCACTGCAGATGAATCTGCCTACCGCTCCTAAATCCATCACTTCATTAAGTCACTTTCTCATCAGGCTATTCTACTATGCCTTGCTCCAGCCATTAAGCCTACCCCATTCAAGCGTTCATACACCTACCAACTATCCAACTCTTCAACTTCCCATTCACATCTTTCGACGACCAGAGCATGCTTATTAATGAACCACCAGTCGTACCTTCAATTCATTGCTTCATTAAACACCTGATCGTTATTCAATCGTCCAACCTTTGTACGATTAATTGTCCTTAGTGTAACTTCAAGCGAGTTACTTGTTCATACACTGGTCCCAACTCAACTCATTCAAAGTTAGTCTATAATAGAATTCTTGATCCGTACTTCTAATAATTTCTTGCATACTTGTTAAGCTATCATTTCATCCACCTTGACCCACGCATCCGTTCATTCATCCACCTATTCACACATTAGATTTCGACTTGTGTACTCATGCCTCTGTTCATTCATCAGTGATCCATCAAAATCATTGATCAGCTCTTCCCATTCTTCCAACTACCCATCGATTTTTTTCATTCAAGTAAACATCTATGCATCTCTAATCTTTGTTCGTACCTATCACCCTTCCTTACTACAAAGATTCAGCCATCCATGCTTTCTCATCTCCAACGATAGTCTTTCCTTCCATCTAACCACGTATCAATAGTCCGTCTATTCATCGAATCTAATGGCCATTTGTTCAATCAGCCCCAAATTCGTTAAGCAACTTTACACCATCCGCCCATCTATTCATTAGTAGTCAACAGCCCATGATGTGGTCCTCCATCCACTCATTCGTACACAACCTATCTATCCGTCCATCCGTTCATTAAGCAAGTCAATTACCTACTCTTCACTTAGACATCAATTCATTCATTTACCCATCCAACCAATCATTTTTTCATACTGTTGCTTGACACCTTCGCAGCCACCAACGAAAATACTTCGTTTACTTTATATTAACAGCTACTAATCCTACGGAAAGCCGCTTAACAGAGAAGTCCAACATGGAGTTATGTGTGGAAGAATTACCGTTTACCACATTGCTGCGATTGATTCGCACTTAACTGCCGCAAATTCAGAAAAATAACCAAAGAGCGCTACATGTATTGAACTAGGTAGTACCGAAATGTCGGCAAACCTCACCGCTCTCCTTATTATTGTGCTTACGACCTCCTTGGGTAAGTATTGGAAGCATTTTACGGTATAAAATACATATTTCACAAAGATATCTAAGTCTTCTAGGATATTTCAGTGTTTTCTAAAAGATGTGTGATTATGATGCAAAAAATTTTTTTTCTGGGTTATAAATCATGGATTTGGTTTTTATTAACAGGTAGTCACGCCTGCAAACACAGAACAGCTAAGACAGACTAAGTTAGTCTTTCTGAAGTCCCAAAGATTACAGAAAGTAGCAACCATCTTAATAAATAGGCTATTTGCAATATTCTAAGTGCAGAACCGATTTAATTAGGATCGTTTTAATAAATTATTAAGATGAAAAAGATCTGTGCTAAAAATAGTAGCACCTCGCATGATTTCAAGAAGGTTCTTTCAAAAGAGAGTAAAAATCCCAGACTCCGGTTAGAGGAATCAGTTGTAAACGAACGGATTTGAGGTGAATAAATAGATCACGAATGAACAGACGGATCAGAGAGGGGAAGATGGATGAATGAATGGGGGTGGAACGGAAAGACAACAGGATGAAAGAAAGGCTGTATAGATGGGCAGACAGATAACTAATTGTGTTGATTAGACAATGTGTTTAATCCAAGCAGGAGTAAATAGGATTTAAATTTCGTTCAATAAAAAAACAAACCCACTACTAAACAAAAAGATATCCCAAGCAAACGACATCCCTCCGAAATAAAACCAGAGGTCTCACTTTCATGCTACATTAAATCAAAGACCCAGGAATGAGCTTCACGTATCAATCTACAGATCCAGCCAACTCCTGCGAATCGGTAAGAAGACAGAACTGCCTCAAATACGGACGCACATGCCACGCTGCTGACAGGAAATGTTGCCAAGGGATGGTGTGTCTGCGCTACCCGGAGGCCCCCGAAGCCGGTATGTGTATTCACTGCAAGTCTTGCAAACAAGCCATCCTCTAGGAGCATCTAATGTACGTCGAAATCTAACTCATGCTTTAATTCATGATGAAAAATTAGGAGTCGCCTTCAAATAAAACAAATTTCCCAATCAAACAACCTTAAATAATCACATAATCACAAACTTTCTACTGGGCCTCCAAGCAGTGTCAAATTTACAAAAGTAAATACTTATTGACTTCCACCGGGACCGTTCAAATTTCGGATTTCTATTAGCCATTGCCTAGCCTTCAGTAAAACATTGAAAAGCGGCAGTTCAAAATGTTTAAATAACCTAGGCTATTCAATGGGGAGGGGTGAGGAGAATGTGTAAAAACGTTGACTTACATCTAATGGAAAGGCGGGTTGCTTATTGAAGATACGAACAAAGATTTCACCGACCAGAAGTTCACCCTGGAGGGTTTTGTGCTCGAAGGTTTTCACGGCATTCAAATCAGCTTCACCCTATTCAAATGCAAAAAAACGCCTTTTACATCTGGGCCAGTTTAGTGTTTTAACCTTTAAAATCGTCTATTCTTTAACATGGGTTGAAAATGGCTGTTAAAATAGGGACAAAACTTTACTAGACATCTAGCTTCCAATTCTTGTGATCTTGGAAAGAAGCCGATTTATCATTAAGAAATCGGCCAGTCTACGACTGGGGGAACGAGTAATGACTAGTTGATCAACAGTGAAATGACAACTGGATAGCTCCCTAATGAGCGTATTCATAACGTGGTGGGCATTCACTCGTGAGTCTGAAAACTGTTAAAGCCGAGGAATATTTGTCTATGAGGAAAAGTGAATGCGTCCTGATTGCGGCCAGAGGTTAGGAGGGGTTAGCTGTCATTTTCACTTTTTGAAGTTTTCATCTAGTGAAGTGTTTAGCACACTTAGGTAGGGCGGATTTACTCAGTGAGATGCCCATTACAAATCTCAAGCGCAAACGCAACACCCTGTGGCTTGCAAAACATCTGTCTTCAGTAAAGAGGGATTGGAAATTCATAGCAAACACTTTGCTTTTAACGTTTTCCATTTGCTGCCCAAATAATGAAGCCAGTGATATTTTAGGCTATTCATTTAGAATGCGATACTCACCATTTACAGCGAATTTTAAATAAAGTATAATGAGAAGGTACGAATAAGCAAATCGGTGAAAATTTACGGTATTTTGGAGAGGAACACGGGCTATATTAGCCGTGCAATGCCACACATCCTTCAGCTCTACCCTACCCCGTCCGCAATGCACTTAGCCTAACAGGAGGCGTGTGACGCGAGGAACTCAACCGAAAGCTAGGCGAGACGTGTACCGATTCCGCAACCAATTTCAAATTGCGTGCCTGTTCATTGCATCGTATCGCATAACATCACCTTAACTCCTGTTTTATATCCATCAGATGCCATTATTGTTATGGTGGCAGGTTTGTAGCAGCAAATTACACTGCCGAAGAATACGCTCAAATTAACTGTTGGAAGCAAAAACATTTTAGCATTTGAAGAATGAACTAAATATCCCGTTTTAGTTCACATTTTCGTGCATCTAATAATGAAGCTTTTAATTAAGCTCAAAAATGGAAGCCTAACCGATTCCTCTTTCATAGTAACAAAAGGAAATAAAAAAAACGGAAAAAAACTCAAAACTTCATCCCCACTCAACTTTGAATTGTCTCAAAACTTCTCAAGCCTAAGGACGGACATGAATGACAAAGAAAACTCACCGTCTTTACGAAATGCAAGACCTGTTCATCCAAAAATTCACTCATCTGTGCCCTACACTGATTATCCCAAATGAAGCAGGGTGTCGCACTATTCGTCGTTAGCAGTTTGGCCAACTGCCTCAGCGTTCGACCACTCTCTGATTTGGGCGAGAGAAAAGAAGACGCCAGAAGGATATCAACATTAGCCACCGGCGCTGGCGGTTTAGCCGTTTGGGCTAGATCAAACAACTTCCTTGTGATGTAGGGTGTCAGAAGACGATTGAGAGTGAATTCCACGGAAGCGGACAAGGAATCCACTTCGCATTGTGATTCGTTGGAGGCGATTCCATTAAGGAGACGTGCCAGAGCCCACAGACACAGCAGTGAGAGCTGATTCAGTGTAATCTGAAAAAAAAAACAAATGATTTGGCAAAAAAATTGCTACTCCATAGCACCAGTAAAAAAGATATAGGCACCGACCTGTTTGTTGGTAGCACTGGAGGCCTCAACACCACTTTCTTCCAGTGTGAAATCGTAAGCGAGAATGTGATAAAGGAGCATGAAGACGCCACCATTTTGATAAACACTGGTGCAGAGCCAAAATTCTTCGCAGAAAGCGGCAGCACAGGCAGCAGCCTGACAACAGAGACGCAAGAGGTTCTACAAGGCAAGGAAGTCGCTTGCATAACCACCATCAAAGTCTATTTGATACGTAGAAAACATTGCAAAACATTGGGTATGCCTATCCTTTCCAGCAAGTCACCTATAAAAAATTGTCACTTTCTCCCACGAAATTTTAGAATCAGTGCTTGAAAGCAAGTTTGGGAATTAAATACGATTATCATGGTTGGAATGGAATGACAGTGCCCTTATCTGT